GGTGGCAGGGATTAGCAGACTGGTGGTTGTTGGGAGCTGGGGAAAGGGGGAATGGGAGCTGACTGCTTCATGGGTATGGGGTTTTCTCTGGGGGTCACAAAAATGTTTCAGCACTAGGTAGAGGTGGTGGTTGTACAACATTGTGAATATACTAAATGCCGCTGAGTTATACACGTTAACATGGTTCATTTTACGTGATATGAATTTTACCTCAACAAATAAAGCAGAAACAAATGAGATCACATCACATTTCCTGCGTCAATCCTTCCACTGGCTTCACACACAATGAAAATAACGTCCAGGGGGCACCCGGGTGGCTCAGTCGGTTAAGCGCCTGAGTCTTGACTTTGGCTCAGGTCATGATCTCACAGCTCGTGAGTTTGAGCCCCACATCGGGCTCTGCACTGACAGCACAGAGCCTGCTTGGAATTCTCTGTCTCCCTATCTCTCTGGCCTTCCCTTGCTCGCACATGTGCGCACACGCTCTCTCTCTCAAAAATAAATATCAAAAGGAAGAAGAAAAGAAAACAGAAAATAACACCCAAACTCCTTACCTGCAAGGCCCCGTGATCCAGACTCTGCTCTGGGACCTTGTACTCTCCCTCACCCACTCCCCACAAGACTCTGTGACAGCAGTAATTTCATCTCCATTTCAAGAGAGGACACTGAGTTCAGAGAGGCGACCTGTTGCGCGGGGATCACGTGGGCACCTGAGGCTGGCTCCGCCTGACCTGTAACTAGCTCCTGGCCGTAGGGGGTCTCCGCGGAGGCCACCCCGACCGTCCCTCAGGATGGGGCACTCGCTGCCCCAGCTGCCAAGGGTGCTGGTGGCTGATCCCTCTCAGCTCTGTGGGTGGAAGAGCTTCCTCGCCCAAGGCACTGACCCTCCCTGAGGACAGCCCCTTCCAATGACAGGCTGGTGGGGCATATAAAGTCCTGCCCCTCACTTCGGGGGCTGTCTTTGAGGCCATTCCGGCTCCAGAGCTCCAGCTCCGCCCCCACAGGGCCAGTCGTAACTGCAGAGCCTTAACTCTGCCCAGGCCGGCTCCTTCACTCCCTCACAAGGCTGGTTTCCAAGGGGGCCTCCTGCCTGCTAATCTCCACATCAGAGTCTGCTTCCCTGGACCAACCTAAGATATCTGCTTTGCCCTTGAGGGCGGGGCCTGTGGGCACAGACTTTATGGTGTGGGGCACTGTGGCTACAACGTGTGAGTGACAGGTCAGACTGGCATTGTAGAAGATCCTACTGGGGGACAAACCAGAAGGGAGAGAGCTGGGAGGCCAAGAGGCCAGTGAGGAACCGAGGGGCCAGGGCCTGAACTCACGGCCACGACAGTGAGGACAGGGAGAAGGCCAATTCCAGCAGTGGCCACTGGGTGGAATAAACGGACCGGAATTCAAGACTGGCCTGGGGACAGGTGGGGTGACTGGGAAGATTCCGGTGCCCCGGGCTGGCTTCCATCTGGAAGTCACTCATCAGTTCTGGGCCAGCCTGTTGGGGGCCAGCCCTGGCCCTGCCGGTCACTAGCCGTGTGGCCTAGACATGGGACCTTGGTGCCTCACTCTCTCCATTAGAGAAAACTGGGCTGAGACCAGGCCCTCCTCATGGGGTGGGGTTAATCCAGTTCAGAAAGCCAGCGTGAGTGGGCATCATCCTGTCCACTCTGAGCTTTCCAAGTACCTGCTGGGTGTCTGGGAAGGACCTGAGGTCGGAGGCACCTGGCTGCAGCCCCGTGGGAGGGGAGGGCGGTGTGGAAATCCCTTCGCCTCTGAGCCCCAGAGCAGCAGTGGGAGGACAGTGATTGTTAGGATCATTAAGTAACACTTGAAAAGCCTCCGGCGTGTGGTGTGGAGTCAACAAAGGCTGCTGCTGTGGCTGCGGCCGGGAGAACCCGAGTACCGCACGAATCTCCGTGTACTTGGCCATCCCACGGCAGGCAGGCAGGCAGCTGAGCCTCTGCAGGGCCAAGCCCCGCCCACCCTTCGTGTTCCCAGCCTGCTCCTCCTCCAGTGTTCTCTCCCTAAATGTCACCGCCGTCACCCAGCTGCCCAGCAACAGAGAGGCTCAGTCCTCTCTCCTACGTCCCCCGCCCCAGGCAGTCACCAAGCCCTCCCCCTGTCCCCCCTTTGCCATCCCCCTCCCCCCTGCAGGCCATCCTGCTGACCCCTTTATCAGCTCAAGTGGATTCGCTTCCTCACTTGGATTGCTAAGAAACCTTGGGGACACATACCAGGAACCTCCTACTGACGGCCCAACTCTTAACCTGCTCAGTAATAGCAACGCCAGGCCTGGCCACTGTATCCCCAGGGTACAGCACAGGCCTGGCACACAGTAGGCCCAGGTATAAGCTAGCTGGTTTGAGAACAAACACGTGAATGTATGCACGTGCTGGCCAGGCTGGTAGGAAGAACGTTAATAAGAATATAGACTAGAAAGGTGCCTAGGTGGCTCAGCTCGCTGCTCGTGAGTCACCAACTGCCCTGCCTGGTCCCATGGAATTCACGTTGGTGAGCTCCTTGCCCCACATCGGGCTCTAAGCGACAGCCCGAGAGCCTTGAGCCTGCTCATGATCTCTGTGTCTCTCTCTCTGCTCCTCCTGGGCCTGCCTGGCGCTTACACTCTACTTCAGAAACAAACCAAAAACATAAAAAATTTAAAAAGAGGGGCACCTAATTGGTGGCCAGAGTTGGTTAAGTGTCCCCAGCCAGGCTCACGCATCTTGGGTTCACAGGAGTTCGAGCCCACAAGGCTTCCTGGGTGATGGCTCAGACGGAGACTGCTGTTCTGTGTCTCCCTCTCTCTGCCCCTCCCCCTCCGCTCTATGCTCTGTCTTCTGTCAAAAATAAATAACGTTGAAAAAAAATTAAAAAAAAAAAAAAAGAATACAGAACAGAGCACATGCTTATAGTACCCACTACCTGCCAGGCCCTATTCTAAGCCCCAGGAATAACTCGTTTCATGCTTGTGATAGCTGTGCGTACTAGTGACTATTATTTCCTCAATTATACTGTTGAAGAAATGATGTTACAGAGAAGTTGAGTAACTTCTCCGAGGTCACACCGCTAATAGGCCGCAAAGCCATGATTCAAACAGGACTCGGGACCACAATCACAGCAGCCCATCAGAAAAGCTCCTGGCCTCTGTCTTATGCTTGCCCCAGATGACACCATCAGGCCAAAGCCTCCTCCCCTCAGGTAGGCCTGAGGCACTGGGGGTTAAGTCAGGGGCTACTCTCCTAGAATCTGCTTATTTCTGGGGACACCGATGAATGAATGGTTCTGAGCCTACATGGCTGAGGACCAGGATGTGGAAATGGAAGTCATGGGGAAGCAGGCCAGTCTGGTGGGAGCTGGGCCACCAGCTCTCCTTGCCCCCTGTCTTCTCAGTTTCTGGCCTCAGGCCCTTCAAACCCACCCAGGACAGAAGCTTTCAAACAGGCTAGCAGCTGTGGGGCACTGCCTCGGGCCTGCCCCTGGGGTGAGGCGGGGAGAGACCTAGCCACCAGGACTCCAGGGACACCCCCACTCTGCCTCCACCAGAGTTATTCGGCTTTGTCCAAGGGTTCTGAGAGTGCTTTCAATTGGGAAAAAAGGTTCTGCAGTCAAAACAGCTTTTGAAAATCAGTGCCCTGAGGAATAAATGCCCTTGTTAAGCAAAGTGGCCTTCTCAAGTCTACCCTGGTGACATTCAGGGGTTTGGATGCAGTGAATTATGGGATGGAGGAGACAGGAGGGTGAGGATCCTGGATGTCCTCAGCCAAGTCCAATGTCAAGGCTTCCGTGACTATTCGTGGCCACAGGTCCCTGCTCTGTGCACCTGCCCTAGGCGAGCCGCAAGCCTGGGGCCTGTCTCCCAGGACACAGTCCTGCCCCCAGGCGTTCACCTACATGGCTTCTCCTGCCTAGAATAAATACAAGGAGGGACCACATATTGAGTCCTCCTGCCTCTGACAAACAACACGTGCGGTACTGTCCCTGTTTCCCAAAACCCTCATGACAGACCCATGAGGCCTCCTTATCCCCATCCTAGGCAGGGAAAAACAGAGGTTCAGGAAAGAGAGACAACTCACCTGAGGATTCAAACCCAGACTGGTCTGACTCCAACAAAATACTCTTTCCACAGCACCCTTGCCTACCACCTCCCACACCCCTGCCTCTCTCCCCTCCTCTCCTTCATCCAAATCCCACCCACACTCAAGGCCCTTCCAGGGGACCCCATTCTCTCTCACCCTGACTCCCCTTCTATAAATGCCATTTCCTCTTCTCTGAACACATTCCCTTCTTCCCATATCCCCTCACCTTGCTGACTGCCTCACACACCTTGGGAATCTGCTTGGGTGTCACCTCTTCTGGGAAGGCCTCCCTGAATGCCTGGCTGGGTCGGAAGCCTCCTCTGGGTCCCTTCTCTGAATTTTCTCCGTCACAGCCCCAAAGGCTGTCTTGTGGTCATCTGCGTTCCTGCATCCTAAGGACACCCTAAGCTTTTGAGAGCAGGGTCCAGGCAGGTCCACTGTGCTTACTGCTATAGCCTATGCCCAGCATGGTGCAAGGCACACAGTAGGCGCTCAATAAATGAGTTCAACAGGCAGCCCTGAGGTCTGCCATGTGTGAGGCCCTCCCAGCGGGTGCGGGGCACAGTGCACCAGCGAGCGCTACCCCTGTCCTCCTGGCCCAGCCCTGCCTCCTGTAGGAAGCCTCTCTCGACCTCCTCAGTCTTTGTCCGGTTCCAGCTCCATGTCTCTTTTTGTTCACCCAAAACATCTCTGAGAGCCAGCTAAGCCAAGGTGGCGTTAGGGGAGCATCTGGCAAGGCAAAGCAGGCCACTGGAGGTGACACATCGCCTCTCATCCCCCACACCGCGCCTGCCCCATGGTGCTCACCAGGCACAGCAACATGGCGCACCTCTTGTTAGGCGCTAGGCTGGCTGAAGTGCCACTGGCTGGTGGCCTCCCCACACCCACCTGGGCCACGCCCCCTTCCCCAGACCCGGCCGGCCGTACCCGGTTGATGAGCTCGCCGACCATGCCCGTCCAGGAGCCGTTGGGCTCGGGCGCCCCGTACAGCCCGTCTTCCACCAGCCGTAGGCGGTAGCGGAAGCGCAGCAGCTCAGCCAGCTCCCGCAGCATGTCCACGCAGAAGCCCTCGAAGCGCTCGTTCCCGGACAGGGCCTGGAAGTTTGGCCGCCGCATGACGTACGGGTTCTCCTGGGAAGCAGCAGAGAAGCGAGGTCAGGGCCCCGGGCGTCCAGGGGCTGCTGGGGGAGCGCGGATCAGGAATCCACCGCGCTGCGGGATGGAGTCACCGCCTCCGTTCCTTGCGCACAAACGCTCAGGGTGTGGAGTGGGCCTGGAAGCTAGGGCCACAGACGCTGGGGGCTTCCCCTCTGGCAGATCACGGGGAGCTGTTTTAATCTCCACCAGCCAACCTGATGCTCAATCGTCTCAAACTCAAATGCCTACCAGGGGAGGCGCGTTAGTAACCTAAGAGTGAATCACACTGTTGGGAGATTATGCCAAACTGGAACAGGGGCTTTCAGATTTCTGACTAGGACCTCACAGTAAGAAATACATTTTACCTTCCAATGCGAGCCACACATGCGTGCGCGCACACAGGCACTTAAATAGACTTTGTTCCTTGAAATGGTCCATACCCTTAGTGACTAAGGGCAGCACACCCTGATTATTTTCTGTCCTGCTCTACCTCGCTTTCCTACACGACCAGTAGCGACCCACTGAACTGACTTGATGAGCTAGCACGGGATCAGAGGGCCACCAGGACTTAGCTCCAGCCGACACCACCACCACCACCACCACCAGGGAAGCAGGCCTGAGACGCCAGATGGCCCAATGTCAAGAATGTTGGAAACCTCGGCTGTTTTGTAAAACGTCCTGATTATAAAGGTTAACAACCACACACATTCAAATACCAATCCTTGTGATGCTTTGCAGGCTAAACAAATAACCTGAGACTGTGCAGAGGTTTGCTACCTTGATGCTTATTTCTGAGGGGTTCCAGCAAACCTTACTGACCCCCAGTGCACCAAATAAGCACAAAGGCAGAGGAAATGTGCCAAAGGGCTAGTAAGACGAGGCATATGAAGATGATGTCAGCAAAAAGGGAATCTTATCTTGACACGGTTATTGTCTGAACGGGTGTTTGTATAGTGTCACTTCAGACTTAGGCAGAAAGGAAGTTAGGACTCAGGACACAGCGGCGGGGGTAGGTGGGGTGGGGGGGAGGCCTTGGCAAGAATCTCCACGATGGTTACCTCCCACGGAATCCCTGCTATGTGCCCAGCCCCTGCACTGCATGTGCTCGCAGGAAAGAATCGCTTTAACTCCTGGCACTGACCTCACACCAGAGGCATCATCAGACTCATCTTACACATGTGGAAACTGAGGCTCACAGAGGTCAAGTGAGGCGACTGGTTACACGGCGACAGGGACGATGAGGCCAGGTCTTATTATAGGCTCTGGATTCCAGGACCACACCAAGCCCCACAGCTGGGGGGTAGTGGGATGGAGGGAAATCAGTGCTTCTCACTCTCCAACGAAGCTGCCTTTCCAAGCCCAAAACTGTGGAACTGGGAGTAGGAATGTGAGATAATCCTAATAATAGCAGCGGTAGCTAGAATTTCTTGCAGGCTTGCTGTGTGACAGCTATTCTGTCGGCGTGGGAAGTTGATATTATTACCTCTGTTTTAGAGATGAGGACACTGAGGTCCCAAGAAGTGAAGTAGTAAGCGGCCAAGACGGACAAGCTGGTCTGACTCCAGAGGTCTGCTCTTAAGCCCCGTGCAGGACAGAACCAGAGAGCGGCATGGGAGAAGCCAGACAGATGGAGGACCCAGGCTGGACCCAGCATTAGAGCTGGGAGGTTCTCCCCAAGCTCTTTCGATATACAGAGCAGGGAAGCTCAGGGAGGTCATGTGTCTTGTCCAAGGCTACGCGGCGGTGAAGCAGGGCAGTGGGGAGGGAAGGTGGGGCGAAGCTGGGGCTCAAAACCCGGTTCCCGGGCACGTTCAGTGAAGCCCTTGTTCCTTCCACCAGGGCTCAGCTGATCTCCAAATTCAAGGCTGAGGCGCTTGGGTGGTGGATCTGGGTTCAAGGTCTCAGGATCAGGGTCTGAGCTTAATAAGGTCAGAAACAGAGACTGGGGCCTGTGAACAGAAGTCAAGATCAGAAAACAATGATCTAGGACTCAGCAGGGAGCCCCAGACCATCAGAAGCAAGGGTCTTATGGAGCCGCTCATTCAGGGTTTTCAGACTTGTTCAGAGCCTTCTGCGGAAGTACTGCAGACAGTGGGCTGGTGCTAAGTCTGATTCTAAGAATCCATCCCACAAATGGCTGCGCATCTGTACATAAAATGTACGCCCGACAGAATCATGGCAGCACAGCTCCCGGTGGGAACAAAGACTGCAACAGCCTAATTTGGGACAGGTTAAAAAGATTATTGATGTCATCAAAGACTCCTAGGCAACTACTAAAATAACAAGTTCTATCGGATATATTAAGAGAAAAAAAAAGCCACAGAACAACGTGTACAATATGCTACTCTTTGTGAAGGAAAGACTGAGTGCTTGTACATGCATAGAAGCTTCTGGAAGGATGTGGCCTCTGAGGGAAAAAATGGGCGCCTGGAGGGAGAAGGAGCCTGGCTTTTCACTCCCCACCCGCATGTGCCGTTTGGATTCTATTTTACATAGGTTTGTATTAACTTGTGTGTCTTCCTTGATATGATGAATTGTTTTAATTAAAAAATTTAATACTAGGGGCGCCTGGGTGGCGCAGTCGGTTAAGCGTCCGACTTCAGCCAGGTCACGATCTTGCGGTCCGTGAGTTCGAGCCCCGCGTCAGGCTCTGGGCTGATGGCTCCGAACCTGGAGCCTGTTTCCGATTCTGTGTCTCCCTCTCTCTCTGCCCCTCCCCCGTTCATGCTCTGTCTCTCTCTGTCCCAAAAATAAATAAAAAAAAAAGTTG